TTATTCTTGTGTCAACCTTCTTAGTCTTTATTGTTAGAGTAGTATACCCAGCGTTCCAATCGGATTGGACGTATTCTACTTGTAAATACAATCTATTGGAATTATATTAATTAAAAGGCATTACTTTATCTTAAGAGTAAGCATTTATCTTATATTTTCACTTAAGATAAAATCCCTAGATCACATATAGTTATAAGGTATGGTTGCGCATAGAGATGGTAATCATGGAACATACCTTGAAAGCTGTGATCTTAAATATAGTTCCAAGTCGACGGATGTTTCGAGAAGGGATATCGAATAATCCATAAAAGACTTGCACATAGTATGTATGCTTGTTGGACAAGAATGTTGCATTCCATCAACATTAGCGTATGACGCAAGTACATTTATGTGGGTGCTTGTTAGAGAACAAGTTCACTGAACGTGACCGTATGAAAATTCTTAATGAAGAATTTATTCAGTCGAATAAGAATTTTCATGTTACAATAGTACATGACTAATCCTTAGACTTGAGGCACAATGGTAACTTTGTGCATATTACATTCTACTTTGATTTATCCTTTTGGTAGCTAGCACTATCGTATAAAGGGATATTTTGGGTATTATGTTAATATGTATGGAAGTTTGTTAGTGGCCAACAAAGGATTCGACACTTATGAAGATAAGTGAATTTCCTATGTGTTTCAATGTTAGTAATTCAAAGTCCTTGGCCAAGGCAGAGATGAATGGAGATTCATACCCGGATTACTACACTTTGAAATAGAATCATAGTATTAAGTCAATTTGGGTTTCGACAAAATCATACCCAAGACTTAATCGGGAAATTAGATGTCGAAAGGATTCTACATGTATGCACTTGTAATCGGAATAGGTTTACTCGCTATTCACTTAATACTAGATTCATGCTACTTGCTAGGTGTTCCCATGATATGTGGGTTCTTGAATTAAAGGGTTAATTCATGAATAAGAGTTAATGTGATTAACTCAAATTACAAAGTGTTGTAAACCCACTACTAGTATTAAGGTGAACCTAAAAGGTCACACCTATTATGAACAAAGGTGAAAAATGTATTTCTAAAGAGTTAGAATTAATTGACAATATCTAATTTGATTAGATGTCAATTAAAGGAATATGTTAATCAATAAGATTGGTTAATTACATTTTGGATATTACTTTAGTAATTAAGGTAATTACTAAATTAATATATTGGAATTTAAAATTGGATTTTAAATTTCCAAACCAAAATAATAATAATATGATTATTATTATATGGATGAAAATTTAGAAATGAATATAATAATAAAGTCTTGGAATAGATTCTCAAGATTTATTATTCTATTATCTTTAAATATGATTTAAGGATTAAAATTATAATTATGAATATAATAGATGGTGGTTGATGGTGGTTATGAACAACCTCACATTGTTTATTATATTCAAAGTCAAAAGTTAGTAATTGTATTTAAATAAAATTAGATTTTATCTAAATATTACTAAATATTGATTATTTTATGCTAAAATGTTTAGTATAAATATATGCAAAATGGTTTTGCATTGGTATTGGATTCATTCCTAAAATTTCTAAGTGTTAGAAAGAAGAAAGAGTTCTTCATAAACATCAAGAAAGAGTTCTTGATATTTCCAAATAAAATCCATACATATTCCTATACGAGAAAACCGAGTCATTCCTACTAGCGAAGGAAAGTCGTTGGAACCGGACTTCATAGGGTGGATACATTTAGAGGGAAGACATTTGGATTCCTAAAGTGAGTAACATCAATTCGTTGAAGTTATCAAACAGGGAACCGATTCCCACAATCTACATCGTCGTTGAAGGAGTTTAAGACATTCGGTAAATACTTTATATTTGTATTTACTTTATTATAACAAATCAAAATTTGTATATGATGCATGTTTTAAAGATGACGATCAGTTAATTCGCAATTAGTATGTACGGGTATAGTATTTATACGATAAATACTTACTTTGAAAAATTTTAAATTCCGCTGCTTAAAGTCCGTAAGGTACTAGCGAACCCAACATTTATTGGCTCGAAGCTCTTGATTTATTTCTGCTATTACGTGGATTCATTTACTATATTCATTATGGATGAATCAATTAGCATTGATGCTTTATTACACTGTCTGTTATCAGATGACTCATAGACCTTACATATTGGAATTCTATATCATTGATATTATTTTCTATATTTCTCTCATCCTTCCATTTATCCACACCTTATTCGGTTCTCTATCTTGCTTTAAACTTCGCATGAAAGTAAATTCAAAACAATTTCAGTTGTTACAAGGATATGACCTATTTAGTTTAACATATCTTGACTGCTTCTTTAGATTTAGATAATACGAAGTGATGAGTTGGTTTTCAGACAGACTACCGGGCTGGTCTTTTTTAATCCTATAAATAACAAAAACCAACGAGTCACACACTAAGCATAGCAATTCTAACAAAAGATCAATCAAATTTTGTATTTTATCCTATAAGAATTAAGAAAGCATTAAGAATTAGTTTGATTGGTCAGAAAACAAATGAATGCCTTTCCCCCCCTGTTTTCGTCTATCAATAGATAGAAGGGCAGAAGAATTCAAATTATTATTCTTCTTTCTTGTCTATAAAAATCCAAATTTTGATGCCTAATACCCTAAAAATAGTCCGAACTGGATAGGAACAATAATCAATTTTTGCTCGAATGGTTTGTAGGGGAACCCTTCCCTCTCTGATCCACACGACGCGTGCAATTTCTTTTCCGCCAATACGCCCTGAAATTTGTAGTTGAATTCCTTTTGTATCCGCTAATTCAATAGCCTTTTTCATCGCTTTCGAGATGAAACTCTGTTCTTTAATTGCTCGGCTATAAATTCTGCAAGAATATTAGGGTTTCTATAAGGATTTCTAATTCTTATGATAGCAATATTAAGTTTTCGGTTTGCACAATGAAATTCTTATTTTAGATTCATCTGTAATTCTTTGATTGCTCGTGGTTTATTTTCGAGTAATACGTTGACTTTCTGTTGATGACCCTTGAAATTTAGGACTAATTTTTAGAATTTCATAACAGTAGAGCCATTTAAAGGCTCCTTTTCTCTTAACATCACTATTCCACTCCATTAATGTATTTTGCAACACAATAGCATTATTTTCTCCATTCCTCTGGTCAGCTCGGAACCTATTTATAGATGCATTGATTTTAGGCAGTCCACATGAGAAGCGTAAAAGATTTTGCCGACTTCATAATCTTTCAATAAAGTTCAGAGCTTAAGAATTTCTATTGTAGTATTGTGTGACTCTCCTCTAGAAGCCATTTGAACTCTGTTGAGTCCAAACAATCAGATCACTCGAGATAGTGCATAAAGCTCAACAAAGCAACATATCCCCGTCTTGTGTCCTCGATTTTGCAGATGATTTCTTATCCCTCTTTGGCTAAGCTCCCTTATTAGTTAATATATATTCGTTAAGAAAAATGTGGTCAAGGACTTCAAGCTCTGGTCTAGTACTAGCTCTTACGACATCTTGTGAGTTTGTACTCATAGTTGTTGGCATGAAACTACTTTGTTGAAAAGGCATGCCAAATGAGTTATTTCTACCATTAACTTATAAGGTCACGTTTAAAGGATTAGAAGGGCGTAAGGTATCAAATAGAATATCTTAATGTCGCGCCATCTACAAGTCATGCATGAACAAGTGCTTATATGCGAAAACAACTTTTTTTTTCCTGAAATGTGCTCTTAAAATTGTCATAAACACGATGGTCATGATTCTAAAACAAATGCCTTTGTGCACACTTCGGAAAAATGCATAATGGGAACTCAAAACGTCTCATGCTTTTAAATTTTCAAATCGTCTATTGACTCAACTAAAAATGCAAACCTGAAATATGACATATCTCATAACTTTGAAATCATAATAACTTCTTTATGTCAGGCACATGAACATTCACATCGTACGTAAGTCCCTATCTTGGACATCTTAAACTTCAAGATGATGTCTTGCAGCATAACTTGTAAAATTCATAGTAACATAAGTCCTTTGAAAAACACAAACTTTAACTTTAAAGACTACATGAAATGTTTAATGCATTATTGAAAAATGCATAAATGTCTATGCGTACCTTATTGGAGTCGGCGTGGCATGGCGGAGGGAGACAATATAAAAAATAATATTCTTTTTATTAAAAAAATGCATTTACTAAATTTATTTGAGCGATAACATGACTCTTTCTTTGAAATAGAAAGATTTTTTTTTTATGCCGACAACAATTTCTTTTCTTTTTTTAAAAGGTCTACAGAACCGTCGACCCGCTCTGGTACCACTTGCAATTCCTCGATTTTCAAAAAGGTAAAAATGACATTTTAAAGAGGCGTTAATGGAATTTGAACAATTTTTGAGCAAAAAATCAACACTCTAATTTTAGAAATAGAAACATATCAAGTCAAACGCAAACAGCCGCATCGGCGTACGATAATTTAAACTCCAAAACATCACGAATAAAATAATGTTGTAACTAGAAATTTCGCTCAGTACAAGATTTTATACAGACAAAACACAATTCCAAACATTTGATAATAAATAAGTTTCTCATCAAATGACAGATGTACCATTTTCCAAACATACCATACATGAGTCGTTTATTTGATAATATATAAACGACAAGAATGAAATATAATAATTAATTATGTTCCATCACCAGCACATCACCGAGCTCCTGACCTGAAAATGTAATGGTGGGGTGAGTATGGAACAACTCAGTGGAGAAAATAGTGCGCAATTATTCAAGTTAATAACATATATTACAATCATCGTATGCACGTAATAAATAATGGACCGAAGGCCTGATACCACATTTGCACGAAGGCCTGAATAATTCTTGAAGCCTGACTGATTGCCTGGAGGCCTAATAATTGCCCGAAAAAAAAAA